CTCTCCTGTATCAAATGTTTCCTTTATAGAAATGCATGTGTTTCAGATATATTGATTTCTTCCAAGAGGACTAAAACCATGGAGTTGGTACCAAGCAACGTGTTCCTTTAAACTGGCTTCCCTCCTGTCTGCCTGCGATTTTGCCTGGTCGGCTGTCTCCTCTGTCCTCCACTAAGCCAGGCAGTGCCCCAGCTATGATGCTGCATTTTATTCCTGGGTTCTTGTTTGTTTCCATTTTCTGGCTACCTGGCCAAGATGTATTTGCTTGCTAGGGCCCTTTATATTCCTCCTATTTGTCTCTTTTCTCCTAGACTGACTGTGCCCTGGTGTGTGGTGGGTGGTTTGTTGTTTTTTTGGGGTTTTTTTTGCGATGGATGATAATAGAAATAATGTGTCATTTCCCGAAAAAGCTGAATCTTGTTCTCTTTGCAGGCTGTTCATCTGCTCCTGTCAGAAGCTGCCTTTTTTGTGCCCTAATGATGTTGCTTCCCTGCCTTACTTTTTGAACCTTTTGAACTTCTTCTGGAACATAATTACCTAAACTACTTGATTAATTTTTCCACTGTAATAAATAGTCATTTGAGACAAAATGACTGCTGTGGTCATGGGTTATTTCTATGCTCACCCTGAAGATCACCCCTAGGTTATTTTTGTCCTGCTAGCAATGATCAAACTTGATTTTATGCTGATAATAGAGCCCATAATAGTGAATCATATCATAGTTTCCATTAGTTTACGTATAGCTCTCATATAGCAGAGTACGTTGTACTAAAAAAAGCTTGTATATTGCTGCAATCTGTAAAAATGGAGAATGGCTGTACTTGGGAAGCCTCCCTGCTCAGCGGTGGGTAGTACTGTGGTTCAGTGGAGGGAGCAGTCTGGAACAGGGACTTAGGAGACCTGGACCATTTACTAATGTTGTTTCTGGTAACACACTCAAGTCAGCGTTGTTTACAGCTGTTACGAATCCTACAGAAATGACTTGCTCTCACTTGCTTCAGGTGGCTTAAGTGTAGAAGGCAGATTTCCGAAGTAGTCATAATGCATTGTTTTCTAGAAATAATGTATTTCTGTTTGCTACTATAGGCTAGTTCCATTTTTTTTTTTTCCTAATTCATGGACCCATTTTTCAGACTGGAAACTGTGCAGGAATTTTTAAGATCTAATCATGTAGCAGTTATGTAGCACCTATAAAAATGCTTTGAGATTATGTGATTCACCATATAGAAAATGGATTTTGAACCTGTATGGATAAACAGTAATATGCCACATACTTTAAAACACTGTTGAATAAACCTTTGCTGGCTGTGTTGGGGGCTTTTTTTCATCCTCAGAATTGATTGATCTAAACGATAGACAGTTTAAGAAATTGTACCTAATGTTTAAAGTTTTTCAGTCATTCCTTTGCCTCAGAACTGCACGTGTTGGGTATGATAGTGAAGACCACCTAAATGGCCTCTTCCCTATTGCATAGTGGAGTCCATCATTAGGGGAAAGACTCTGCATGTTGAAGAAGAGTAGAGAATTCTAACATTGTGTATGAATATGTTTTAGATTGTTAGCACCATATACACACAAAGTGTATTTGTTAAACTGACAAAAAAGGGTCTCATTATACAGTGTTGTTATAGGAGGTATAGATTTCTAGGTTTTTTTTAAACTAATGAAAATGTCTTGCCTGTTAAAGGACAACTGAGTATGAAATCAATTTGGACATGCCTTTCAGTGTAGTATTTCTTAGTTCTGAGCATTAACACATTGCAGATTGCGACTGTAGCAAAATATCAATTTGTTTTCTTCCTCAAGGCCGCATATTGCATCATCTAAGTATTGTCAATTTGCAAAGCACAGGAAAATGTAGAATTGGATTGCTCTACATGATCCTCTTCATGTTAGGGCAGTACATGGTTTTTAAGAGCAAGTTGTTTATTGTCTAGCAGGATAAAAATTTTGCTGGATGGGCAAGGTGGGGTTATTTTATGTGAAACTTTGTGCACAAATTATGTGAATTATTTGTTTTGAACACTATTTATATTCTTCTGTTGGTGATGACAAGCTCTTCCCCTTGAGCTTGTTACTTAACCAGTATCTTTTAGGATGTGGTTTGTTTAGCTGCATTGTTGGTAATTAAAGTGAAGCATAATTTGAGTCATTAGCTTTAGAAGTCTAGCGATTGTAAGCAGGTGGCCTTGTGGCCACTCACACAGGACCCACAGCTGTCACGAGCTAAGCGGAGTTGAGGCAGTTCAATCCTTAATCATAGGCTTCCTTGAAAAAGCTATGTACAATGGATCAGATTCTCTTCCAAATCTGAATTGATGCTGTGTCCTGGAGGTCTAAGATTTTGTTTTATACTTGACATTATATCAGAAAGCCTGTCTTTCAGGTGAGAGATAAAAATGCTGTTCTGCTGATGACCGCCTGCCTCTTCTCCATGCCCCCAGCACCCCCTTGTTTTAATCCTACTGCCTTTCTGTGTGTTTAATTAGCTTCCCCAATTGACAGCAACTAGAATTTTAAGGAGCTGCCACATAGGTGGTCCTAGCCACTAGGTAAAACTTGCATTTCTGGCAGCACAAAGACAGTTCAAGCAGAGCCTTTTGGGCCAGGATGGGTAAATCCAGGGACTGCAACAAAGACAGTACATCTCTCAGCTGAAATTTATTTTCTAAAAGAGCATTATTTGAACTATTATAAGCCTATGCCAGTATATAATTCTGCCTCCCCCTTTTTTTTAAATAGATAGATGCTCAGAAGAGATGCACTCTTCTGTTGTGAGGATCTTAGTTCCACTGTTTGGCTCATTTGATTGGCTTTTGGTTTCATCTGTTCATGCTTGTGGTTAAAGTGTGCGTGTCAGGTTCTTGACAGAAGAGCTGTGAATTTTCAGAGTCTGTCAGCTGCCTTCTGTACCTGCCCTTCCTTGCCCTTTGTATTCTTTTGTTACTTCGTGATAACCATAGTTTATACTTATTTGCATAGAGCTGGTGCTGGAGTTTGCTGCAATGTCTCCTTACACTTGCCTTCATTGATGTGTTTTCTGTCTGACATACTGATGACAATTATTGAAAGTCCTCGTCTGTGTTGTTACAGCTGCAGCTTAATTCTTCTGTGTCTTCATTTTCTGTGGTGGTGTCAGTTGGTATGCTTTCCAGTCAAATAGGGAGCTCAGACTTTCGTTTTTTTAGAATTTTATAGATTGATTTTACTATATCATTCTTACATTTTCTTCTGTATAAATTTGTGTTTAACTGGCTCTTCCATTCCAGAATTATGTCTGCATTGGCCTACATAGGTAATAGTTGTTGGGACGGTGATGATTAAATTGAGAAAGTGCCCTTTTTCTCTGGTGTTACAAGACTCCCTTGTTTCCAAGTATCAACTTTATTCTATAATGATGCAGTGTTCTGTGACTTGTGGCTTTTTGTATTGTTGCTTTTCCAGTGCTTTCTCATTAATACCCATAATACTGAATACCATGCAGCTTGTCCTTGTTGAATGTTGTGATAAGTTGTTTTCTGTCTTGGAGTAGGAACACAAAGCTATTAACCTTCACCTTGTTAGGATTTTGTAAGTTTATGAGCATATGTTCTTGAAAAAGAGAAGCATACTTTTTTTTTTTCCCCTGCTATCTGAGGATGCAGGAAGACCCTGGTACAATCAGAATTGACTTCCAAATAATTTTTTTAATTGGATTTGTGCTTTAGTTCATCCCTTCTGAGGTATAAAGAATGATTAATAACCTGGAATAGATTTAATTTTTCCTTCAAAAATGTGGGAAAATGAATTGTTGCCTTACAACATTCTTCTGAAGATCTGTTGGGAGCCTTGGAGCATTTTAATTCTCTTAAATGCTCTAACTGAAGAGCCAACAGTCCTGAGTCAGACAAAACTATCTTTGATGCAGAACACTCCTTAGACATTTAAATTGTAAGCAAAAACCCCCTTGAACAATGCTTGAAAATCCATTTATGTTCCACTTAATTACTCAGCTTCTTACTCTATTGGCCACTGTAATGCTATTGTTTAGAGAGCCTCAAAATAGTTCCAAGAATACATGAATTGCTAATGTAGAAAACAAACAGAAAAACAGTTAAGCGTTTGAGGCCAAGGTGAGATGGAAGCTTTTGCTTTGCCTCTTCTTTACATTAGAAAAGACAAGGAGAGGTTGTTTTGCTTTTCACAGTCCTCTGAGCAAGCTTGTTTATCACATGCCACATTCTGTGCACACAAAAATTGGAAGGTGTAAAACAAAGGATGAAAGTAGCAATTCACTATGTTTAATTTCATTGAAGGTATTTGAGGAGCAAAGTTAAAATCACAGAACAATTTTTCCCTGTTGGAAGGGACCTCTGGAGGTCGATCTGGTCCAACCCACACTCATAGCCATGAATTGATAGCTTAACATTTTACCTTTGTCAAAAGAATTTTTTTAAATATGTCTTGAACACACTATTACTCTGGTTTCTGCACATTCTTAAAATTACGTATCTGATTTAATCTCATGTATTTCAAAATTAAATACCTGCACAGTGAAGGTGAGTGTGTGCATTCTCTTCACTGGGATCTATAGTGATCTATACTGAATTCCAATACAGTATTTGCCTTTGCAGGTTTTCACGTCCTCAGAGAAAACACATTTTTAAAAAAAAAAAAAAAAGTAAATATGCAGTCTCTGCTGTTGTGTGTTTGGCTGTTTTTTAACATTTGTATTTTTGGGGTTTTTTTGTAGATTTAATGTGAACAACAAAATCCTTCATCCTGAAATTGCAGAATGGTGAGTAGCATGAAATCTTTCTCTTCAAGTACTGTTGAACGTGCTTCTATTCTGTACCATCACTTCAGAGAGATGCCCTCAGCAGAAGCCTCCTAGTTTGCTACATGAGTTTTAATTTTAAGCTGATTTCATGTTGTGGGGTGGAAATAATGTACAAAAGTAAAAGCAGGGCTAGGTAACAGCATTGAAAAGTCAAGAATTTATGTTACATTTCTTAAGCCTTGTGTCTGGATATACATTTTTATAGAATGTGTTTGAGTTAAGTCACATTTGTGTAAATGTGAATTTGTATGAATAGGAAAAGAACTGAGGATAATTCATATTCTAGCAACGAAAATCAAAGGCAGATGAAAACTGTCTGAACAGGTAATATTTAATAAGGTGTTATTACTTCTCTAGGATTTATTTTAACAGCATTAATTTTGTTGAATTATTATTCATGTAACTATACTTTGTAATTCTGGGGGAATTCTGCTGTAGCCTATCTAGAATAGACAAAATTAAAGAGTGTGACTAAGTGTATTAACAGCTTGCAAAGCTACTGCATTTTACCAGTTTTCCTCTTTTGGTCAGCATTGCTGACTTTGTCCTCAGGATTGCTCCATAACTAGGGCTTTCTAGTTTTCCATTTAGGAAATTAACTGAAGAAAGAAGATAGTGGATTTTTGTTAATGAATTAGGTTTTTGTCTAAGCTTTTTGAGTGTATTAATCTAGAAATGAGGAAGCAAATCCTTAGTTAAGACAGATAAGCTCAGAGTCTTAAAATACAAACAGGAAAGTGTACACTCTGACTACCACTGATGTAGCTGACTGTATTATATACTACTACATATTATTCTTTTTAATGTTTATTATTAGCACATACTCCGAGAACAATCTTCTGCTGTCTTCAGCTACATTTAGTTGCCAGCTTGGAAGCTGGGGACATGTTTTTTGAACATCAATGCGATTTCAGAATGTGTAGAATTTTAATAGGTCACATTTCTGTTGTTACAGCCATTTTTCATTGCTTGGCATGACATAAAAAAAAAAGTTGTAGAAGCAAAGTGGGAAGCAGGGAAACTTTGCTTGGACTTTTTTGCGACACTGAGTCGCGGGTGGACCTGGAGATGTATAGTAGTGGGACTCATGGCTTGCAAATCCTGCTGATGAGTGCAAGGGGGAATGCGAGTGCTTTGTAACACAGAAGATTGCTCAGGGGACCTATTTTTAAATCTTGCCTATTCTATCCTTCTAGAATTTGGATGCTTTGTCTTCTAAAACAAAGAAATTATCCAATAGAATTGATTTCTGAATTTAAGAGTTGGTCAGCCTTTGAGGTGCAGAGTCCTGACTAACGTAGACAGAACACAAATTCAGAAATTGATGTGTAGGGATGTGCAAATTAAACACAATTAGGAAAACTTGGTAAAGAAGGAGCTTAGCAAAGCCTGTTTTCTTTTAGAAATATCATTAGTGTTTAATTAGTCAAGCTCCTGTCATTACAGGTATTGATAGGGAAGATCTAGAAACGTTCACGCATGCTCTGAGACCCCTGATGCTGTGTTACGTTGCTTACAAAAGTAGTAGAAAGGGTAAGTCAAGTTAGAAGCTTTTCATAAAGTTATTTTCCTGCAGAGGCGGCTGCTGCTGAGTTCTAGTTGGTTGGTTTAGTGTGTTGGGTGTGGGGTTTTTTTGTTGTTTAAGACACTGGGAACTTTCAGCCTCTCACACTTCATTATCATGTGCCCAGCAGCTAGAGGAGGATTCTCTAAGTGACGTGACAAACCATTTAAAGAGCAGAGGAGGGAGCTACATCTTAAACCTGACAGTGCCATTTTTGTGCTCCTCTTGGTTGCCCGCATTTTTTTACTTTTGTTAGCAGAGAAGGACAAGGGGCAAGAAAGGTGTCGTGGTTTAGCCCCTGTTGGCAACCAAGCACCACGCAGCTGCTTGCTCACCCTCCCTCCCTGTGGGATGGGGGAGAGAATCAGAAGGGCAAAAGTAAGAAAGCTCATGGGTTGAGATAAGAACAGTTTAATAATTGAAATAAAATAATAATAGTAATAAAAATTGTAATGAAAAGGAGAGCAATGAGAGAGAAACAAAATCTGGGGGCGGGGGGAAACAGTGATGCAACTGTGATCGCTGTCCCCCAGCCAACTCCCCCCAGTTTCTATACTGAGCGTGACATCATATGGTATGGAATAGCCCTTTGGGCAGTTTGGGTCAGCTGGCCTGGCTGTGCCCCCTCCCAGCTTCTTGTGCACCTGGCAGAGCATGGGAAGCTGAAAAAGTCCTTGACTAGTGTCAGCATCGCTTAGCAACAACTAAACCATCAGGGTGTTATCAGCATGCTTCTCATCCTAAATCCAAACCACAGCACTGTGCCAGCTACTAGGAAGAAAATTAACTCTATCCCAGCCAAAACCAGGACAGAAGGGGACCTGAAGAGCGGCCTGGTCTAACTTCCAAGCTTTGATCTGTAGATAATAGCAGCACTACAGGGAGAGAGATGACAATTTCAGCTGCAGAAGGCTTTGGATTAGGGCTACAAGCTTGTTCCCAAGTTAGCTTTCATTCTGGTTCCATCTACCTTACCAAGTTGTCACCTGATACGATTTTCTGCTCTGTGGTTTGGGTTAATGGGGGGTTAAATCTTCTTCAGGAAGCTCAAGGATGGAGAAACATGAGGTCTGTGCCCTGAGGTTGTACTGAGATAGATGGAGCATTGAGGCAGTAGAAAGCCAGCACTTGGAGCTGTTCATTTTGGTGTAGAGAGAATCTCTTCTGTGAATTGTGAGTGCCAACCCAGAATTCTGATTTTGTCTCCTGCGATCTCACGAGGGAGAGATGTTTGGTATGTACCTTCCCTTCACCTGGCTTTCAAAGAAGGGGAATTCTAAGTGAAGGCAAAGTTCAGATTTGCATTCAAAGGTATTTTAAAAGGTTTTATCAAATTTGGTGCCTTTCATCATAAGTCAGAAGTATGTTAAAGACCATTGTTAGGATTTAAGTGTCTGGTGAAATCAATACATGAATGACAGGCTATGTGTGTTAGTAGAAATTTCCTTGGAATGTCAAGTTATTGTACAAGAAACTTCCTGTGGAAAGCAGTATCATTTTCAGAATTAAGAATATTTTTCTTTTAGGAAGATGATTTTTTTGGGGGGGTTATATTCTAGGGTAAGAAACTGCTTAATTTGAATTGTCTGCTTGCACGGATGCGTATCATTTCAAATTCAGCAAGCTCTGAGCTATTCTGTTTTACGTGATACTTGTCAGAAAAACTCAGATCTATACTATGCTGTCAAAACTGCCAGCAAGAGGTGAAATGGCTGAGCTTTCTGAACCAGCTGGGGAGAACTCTGATCTACAAAAGACAACTCTAGTATTATACAGTCTTCTAATAAAATGCAGAGAAAATGGCTCAATACTGACAAGGGCCAAAGCGTTTGCGATTAAGGATCTGTTGTCTCTCTTTCTTACTCATCCTTTTTCAAGATCTCAAGATTTTCTGACTTGCTGTGAAACTTACGGATAAAACATAAAAGAATTGGACCTTAGGCTGGATTTCAGCAGTTTGCAGATGGGATTTGATATTTATGTGTGGAAGATTTCATATATTCTGTATTTTGCATGACTTTGATGGAAAGATGTAATTGTTTCTTTGGGGAAAGTGATCTATATGTTAATGTCTTAAAGCTGGGCATATGCTTTTTGTGTTTTCAGAGTTTTTTTTATTTATGTTGTAAACCTCTTAACATCTTTTTGAACTGTGTCAACATGAACTCATTTGTTTGGTGTTCATGCAACTATCTTTCAGAATTGTACTGTAATGCTTCTCCTTTGCATATATGCATTACTATGTTTATTGGCTTTGATGCTAATTCAGTTAGCAAGTTTTTTTGTGAAAGCTTGCAGAAGAGCATAAATATATCAACTATGGTAGAGAAATTCCTATAAATAAAATGCGGAAAGGTAACAGCAGAGGTGAAAAAGGGTGAAGACAAGGTAGGACTGTGGAGTCTGTCTACATGGGCAGCATCTATATTTACTAGGTAGTTTGTAAATGTAATGTTTCCAGACAGACAAGGAGGAGTGGACATACCCAGATGTTTTCCATGCATGTCACAGAAAGCAGCCATTAAGGTTGCATGCGTGTACTAAAACCAAGACAGCTGGTAAAACACTGAGCTGATAACCAGGAACAAATATTTCTGGCAGCATGGTCAGGAATGGTGACTGCACGTACAGAAGCAAACATTTGTGTATCTTTGAGGAAAGCACTGGTTTAGGAAAATGTAGTTGAGTTACACAAGTTTCAGCCTCATAATTGCCTCGAATTCTGTGTGCTCTTGACCGCTTGATTAATGGCAGATAGGTTGTGTGTGAAATTTGGTATCCAGCCACTTAAAATGCCCAACTTAATTTCAGGACTGAAATGATACCTGTTTGTATTAAAGCTTCTCTCCGCTGTTGGATGACTGACATGCATGAAAAGACCACCTGCTCATATGGCAAGTGCAAGTAAAAGCACAAAGTGTGTGAGGAAGAAGAAATGTTTTTACACTGGTAAAAAGAGGAAGAGGGAAAAAAAAAAAAAAGTTAAAAGTTATAGGTCAATCCTAACAGTAGGAGACTTTTGCTTCTATTTTAACTTGATTGCATTGAGTGACAGTGTGCGTAACTGATCCAAGAGCTGTTTTTAATACAACGTTGAAGTTTGCATTTGTGAACAAAGGTGGGACTTTCTTCCTAGCCTTATCTTGGGAGAAAAATGTCGTGATTACTGTGGACCATTCCTCACCCACAAGATTGCCCTACCGTGCTAACCACAGTGCTTGACTAGCAACGCTTTAACCCTGGGTTGGGAGAGTGTTGCTTTTTATGCCATCAAAACAGTGAGAAGGTGGTGAAATATATGCCCTTCTGCTTCCCAAATATGCTGGCGGGAACTCCATCCATCAACAGTACCACTGCAGACCTCATAGGAGCCCAGTGACTTTTTCTTTTCAGTATCTAGTGGAGGGTGAAGCTGATCATGTTCCCTGCACAATTGTACATCCTCCCTCTTCCTTACTGACAGTTGGGGTAGTGGTTTTTGTTGGTCTCAAAATGATAAAACGTTTTCTGTAAAATGTTTCAGTGCTTGACCTTGTGTAAATGAAGGTGATGCATTGCATAAAAAGTCTGTCTGAGGCTGAGCATGAATTTCTGTATGCAAAAAGATACCTGAGAAGTTATGATCTAAAATAAATACCTTGACCCTGAAGCCTTATGACCTAGTCAAGTAAAATAGGTTCTAATACTGTTTGTACTTGCCGTTGAGCAGTTACTAACTTGTATTACTAGCAGATCCCAATAAAGAGATTAGACAACTGAATTATGAAACAGCCTATTTTTCAGACACTTGAAGATCAGAGATATGTACTGTATATTGAAAATAATATAAAGGCACATCAAACAAGTATTAAATTATCCTGCTAGCACATGCAGTCTTCCGAAGAACAGGATTTTTTTTTTTTTTAAAAAAAAATCTATAAGCCTTTGCTACCTCATTCTAACATGAATATATTTGAGCCACTGTTCTTTATATCTTGGCTGAAAGGCAGTAGCAGAAGTTTGTTTCCTCACCCATGGTAAGCAGATTATACTATCCCATGTAATTCATTCACCTCGGTGTGCATTTTAAAGCCTTGTACTTCTCATTCTCAATGGGCACAATGATTATTTTGTGTCATATTCCAATTGGCTAAGAATGTCAGTCCGTTCCACTCTACTGTGTTCCAGTTTGTAAGAGCATTTTGATTGATATCGGCATTTTTACAAAGGTACCTTTACTCTTGCCAGAAAAGTTGTGTTTGAAGGGGAGTGGCTGTGCTGCATAGCAGTGCCATTGTTGTCTGTGGGAAATGCTCTTATCGCACATCAGAGGCACTGATGGCTGAGAAACCTGTTTCTGGACTCATTAAAACAAACTACAGGAGCAGAAATACAGTAAATAGTTTTCTACAGCAGTGTGAGTAGGAGCATGTTATAATAAAAAAGGGGTGTCTCGGTGGCAGTTTCGAAATACAGCAGTTATGGTACTTTGTAACTGCTGCAAGCACTGGAGTGGAGCTGGAAGATACAATTTAAATATTTTCATGCAATTCAGCAGATGCAGTTTTGTTCTTTGTAAACAGTATGTAGTTCACGGGTGCCTTTGAGATGGGCCTGAGAAATATTAGGAAATCAGTATGCGTAGCAGTGGAAAGAATAGGTGATTTTTAATAGAAGGTACGGAACTATCTCTGCTTCTCTGTTCACATCACACTAAATAGCTGGTTTTATTTGAAATATATGGTAGAAAGCAGTGTAAGTAGATAAGAGTTTAATGGTAAATTTTTGAGATGAGTTCAGAACAGAGTATCAAGGCTCGTAAATAGACACATTCAGTATCTCATAAGGCATGAAAAACAGGATGGGGTTTTTGGGGGGTTTGTTTGGTCGTTCCCCCCCCCCTCCCCCCCCCAAGAAGCATGTGAAAGAGAGTGGACATCGTTGCTGTAATTACTGCTGCTGTGGTTTCTGAATTTCATGTTTTGGGTTTTTTATTACCAAACAGAAATAGCATTTCTTCACACTCCCCTGCCCCCCCACCTTTTGAGGTATTGCAAATAGGTGGGAATTGGGATTGTGCTGAATAGAGATTCTGGAGCTCTGGGAATTCCATTATGTAAACTAGTTTCAAATCGTGTTTTAAAAGTAAATCAAGTATCCTTGTAGAAATGTTCCATTTGCAGTAGTGTTTGAACCATGACAAATGCAGAAATACATTGCTTTTGTTCCTAATGTATTGTAGAATGAATTGAAAAAATGTTGGTTGGACCACTTTATTAGTATTAAAATAATGCAGGCTGATGTTTGAAATGCTTGTGACTTCCCTTTGTAAGATTGTTTTGCTAATGGTGAATCAATGCCAACAAAACTTTGCTGTCATGAATACTGTAATAGCTCTTCTCTCTTGAGGTGTACTTGATCTAATTTTGCCATAGGTGATGCATATTATTTTCAGGTTTTTTTTATTTTGTATTCTTAATCTGTGAAGTTGCAACCTAACCTGGTATCTGTTCTACTTTTCTTTAAGTCGTGTGATTAAGACAGACATGGAGTTGGAAGTTCTGCGCTACACCAATAAAATCTCCAGTGAAGCTCATAAAGAGGTAATGGATCCTTTACTGTTAATAATTTTTGCTCTTAGTGTAGCAGTGGTACTCAGAAAATGTTCCCAGCAACCCTGAATTGCTTAGTAATAAAATAATGGAAAGGCTGGATAGAAATAAGAGGATAATATCCCTCCTATTACAGCCCAGTAATATACCTTGCATTGTCCTTGAACTCACCGGTGCATTTGTGATGTGTGAGAAATCAAGTGTGGTTTTGGATAAGAGCTGGAGCCTCAGCAGAAGGTGACCTGCTTGCAATCTATCTGTCTTGTATGCACAAATACCTGTATAGTGATGGAGAAAGAAGAGATGAAGAAGATTATTCTTCTGGCCCATGTCAGCAAGTGCAGCTCTGAAGAGTTTAACTAGCAAGTTACTCTCTCCAAATCCTTACAAGCTGAAGGAGTGTTTCCATGCACAGTGGAGGATAGTGCAAGGATTCCTTAGGTTGCTCCTTAGAGATGGGTATGTCCCCCAGTACAATGCTTCATGATGCTATTCTGTTGACATAGTGGTGTGGCAAAGACAAATCCAGGCTCTCAGCAAGGCTACTCGGGTTGGACCTGGCACTGTGCCAGTGGAGTCATATTGCTCTCCTGGTATTGATGACAAAATTAACTTGGGTGTCAATCCTGTAGTCCATATAGCGATGCAGAGATGCCATGAGTTCTGAGTGATGACCAGAGGGAGCTCAGGTAAAAGTGGCCGATGAGGTTACTGACTCAACTATTGTCTTTGATCCTGCTCCTCAGATTTCTGAACTGTGAAGTGTAAAAATATTTTAAAGTGGGTATTGTAAAATTGCAAAGTCTAGGGGTAGTCATTTGCATTCATTCTCCTTGGTCCTTCATCATCCTTGAATAATCGTATCACATCTGAGAGAATTTCTTTTGTAGAGCAGCTGCCTAGAACTTTTATAATACAGAAACAGGCAAAGGAATAAAACTGGTGCACATTCTCAGCAAATCTGAGTACAAAAATCAGACTTGTGGATTGTAAACCAGTGTTAACTGTAGTAGTTTTCTGTTGATTCAGGTTGCAAAGTATGAAAGAGAATCTCTCTTTGCAGTATATTCCAGTTCACAGTTTTGTTTTGATGGTGTTTCATAAAAGTAAAACAAAAGGACTTGCTGCCAAGTTCACCAGAGCTTTCAGAATTAAGCATTGGTATTTTGATGAGCTTCACTTCCTTAGGATATAGTAGTTTAGCAATTAAACTTGCTTTATTGCTGGGGACTGTAGGCATTTATAAAGATTAAAATGAGTTTGATTTCTAATGTGTTTTAAAATGCATCTACTGATGTAAATTTAAATCAAGTACAGATTATATTTTTGTAATAGAGGTTCCTCTGGAGATACTCAGTCGTAAGTCATAAATTTATAAATATGAGATTCCCTCCTGCTATGAATGTCCCATGTTAATATGTATCTTACAGGTAATGAAGGCAGTAAAAGCGGGTATGAAAGAATACGAGATGGAGAGGTAAGAGTTCTTTCAATAATTGTAATAAAAGGGAGAAAGTCTCTTTGTAGTAGGGGTAGAAGCAATAGCTGATGCAAAGCAGTAGCATTGATTCAGTGAGACTGAGAGCTCATTGCTGTTTGAAGACTATTGTAAACATTATTTTATTTATTATTTTGAGGTGGTGCTTCATCAGTTTCAAATGTGTATTTGATGATGGTTGATTATTTTTTGGTGATGGTTTAGTGTAGCATAATTTTCTTCCTGGAGTTTTAGTAATTTACAGAAGCTTTACAAAATAGCTGTTATTATTGTTTGAAGCCATCCAATAAAATGGTGTTTATGGATAAACACTGTCCTTATGCTTGCTATGCTTAGAAGACTGCATGTATGAGTGTTTAAGAACCTTATAAAAGGCTGTGTTCAATTACATTTTGCCTGCAACTACGAGTCGGCATTGCCTGTACTTAGCCTGTACAAGGAGCTCATCTCACAAATGTAATGGATGTTACTACAGCTGTTAAGAAGTCAATAAGAATACAGCATATATCTCTTATGTTGAAGAAAATATGCTGTACAGGCATATATAGGAAGGATTGGCTGCTCCTAACTGATACAGTAGTGATGTGTCTAGATACAAGGAAAACATTGCCTCCTCTTTTAAATCAATATTTACATTAGATCATCAGCAGCCTATCTTACAAAGCATAGCTTTGATCACCAAGTCCATTTATTTTTAGCTTGCATACAGTTTTTTCAATTTTCAAAGTATCTGCATGATGAAGAAATAGAAAATAGCGGTCATATCTCAGTTACTGTTGGTTCTTAACAGTGATTTTTCAAACATTAGTAAGCAGTCTAATTTGGCGCCCAGTGAGGGGAAAATAAAGTGACCTCAATATTTGTCATCAGGATTTCGAGGTAGCTCAAAAAACAGATAATGCCCTTAGAACACATGCAATATGGAAAAACTAATTTTACATTTAAGCAGTTTAAATTTCTACAGACTATAGGCTCATGCCTATAATTTGACAGTGCTTCAAATGGCAGTTAAATATACCACCAGGTAACAGGGGAAAAAAAAAGTATGTTGTATACATTCTCCCATTAACTTTATTAATGAACCTTGTGTTTGTGTTCATTTTACTCACTGCCCATGCTATACATGCTGATAGTGAAATTTTGGCTCTGGAAGTCGATAGTAATCAAAAGTTTCCATAGAGCAGAGTTTGCTGTCAGGTGCTTTTAAATGTCAAGATCTGGCAGTTTGGTTTAAATGTCATGCAACAAATATATATATACACACACGCGCGCGCGCACACACACACACTCTCTTCTGTAAGTCTATGAGGTATATTTCATTTTCACTCCAGGACTTTCATTCTTCTCTGGCTAGCTTCTTCCATACACATCAACCTTTTGAAAAGATTATTTGTGTCTTTCAATTAAAAAAATAAATAAATTAGGCAACTGTCTATTCAACCTATTTAAAATTGCCTTCTGTTCTTCCATATGTCTTGATAGATTACACTTCTTGAAAGAGTTTGAGGTTATTTCACTAATGAAAGAGGTCTTGGCAGACTACCTCTGTAGCGTCTGCCTTGGAGACTATAATTAGAACTTCAGTTTCTGTTGCTGGTGGAATTCATCCCTGCTCCTGCTCCTGTTCCCTTACTGCTTGGGAGAAAAGGGTCCTAAAAATGTAAACCTGTCATTTCCACACCATTCTGGCAAGAAATGTGTACTTGAAATGTTTATAAATGCAGTTAGAAAGCAGTCTAGGAAATCTCTACTCTGTGTGCAGATAAACCCATTAATGTAGTCTAAGAAGGGAAATTTCAAAGACTTAAAAATAGGTAACATCCAAAGCCAGACGATTTTCATTGAAATAGTAGAGTTTTTTAATTTTTTTGTTGTTGTTGTTGTCAACAGGCTAGATAGCTTGCATTTTGCAGCTTTGGTACATCTGAAATCTAAAGGTGCAGAGAATTTTCAGTCTGTATATGTTTCTCAAAAGTATTCACACTTGTATTTAAGAGATCAATTATAAGTTAATAAAGTTTTTCATTTTATGATGTTTCTAGGGCTTCTACTCCCTTTGTGAAAGCTTTCTGAATTGTGTGGCCCTCTTCCCCAGATGTATTTGCAGTTCTCACTGATGGCTGTGAAATTGTAAATTTTTGAAATGAATATAGATATCTCTTGAAACGTGGCCAATAAACCCCCCTTCATATTGCTTTACTTCATTCTTTGACACTGTGGAGTATAGCATGTGAGGTTTGGGGTAGAAAGCTGGTCTGACTGTCTGCTAGGAAGAATAATGCCAGAGATCTCAAAACCAATTAAAATTTTCCATTACTACATGTAAGACCTAAGTGTTGCCTTTTCATTGTTCATTCAGTTAAGCAGCCTTCCTACAAAAACCAAGTCATTTTACTTCTATTGTATCATACAGCAAGAACATGTTAAATTACTCGAGGAAATGTATCTAACAGAAAACAATATGTAAAGCTAGTTATATTTCTAAGATTGGGATTATTCTCTGATAACTAATTTGAAGGAAATTAAGTAAATTATGGAGAAATCTATAGATAAGATAATATCTTTTTTCTTGAGGGTTGAAAGCTAGCTTTGGAAATATGCTGGAACTATTCTTTATGATCAAGGTCCCTGGTAAATGATTTTGAACCAGTAATGAATTAGTGAGATATATAAAAAATGAATGCATTTAACTGTAAGTCCAATCAGCCCTGGCTTATTTTTTTTGGTTTGATGTTATTTAACTTCAATATGTGGTTGGTTGACTTTAAGGAGACAGCCAAGGCAATTATCTACAAACAGTAGTTCACAGCATGCGTAATTGCGTATAAAGTCATTTTGGTAGGTCAGATTCTGGATTTTCTCTGAAGTAGTTTGTTTAGTATTTGTGCTTGTCTCATGTTTAATTAATCTTCTTTAATTAAAGGCTTTTAATTATGAAACTGCTCTTTAGTGAATATATTGTTAAAATACAGCAAAATGATAAAATCTCTTCAGCTGGAGAACTATGTGGAAAAAAATCTGTGATTTCAGCTAAGTTGTTTTATGTGTATATATATAAACAAAAATATTTTGTGTATATATCTCTATATATACACATACACCCTGAAAGTACTAATTAGGACCTACAGTCATCTGTTTCAGGATGCTCTAAAGTGCTGGAAATACCTTCTCTAAATCAGTGCTTATCAGTTTCTAGAGTGTTGCCTATTCATCTGCTTAGTATTTACCAAACGAAGTTTTGAATCTTCTGTGCATATTCTCATTTGTTCCCTTTTTTATTGAACAGAACAATTTTAAGATCGGGATGGCTTCTTGGGATTGTTGATTTGATTGGGGGATGGTGTGAAAGTGTATGCTGTAGCAACAGAAGAGGAACTTGCTACATACACTGTATTGGACATGTAGCTATTGTATGCATTGCCCATTTTTGTGGGGTTTTATCCTGTTCTTAATAGCACTGAAGACCCTGTGATAGGATTCTGTGCAGAGTCCTGAAATCATTACATGATAATGTAGTCATCATTGCCTTCATGATGGTGGGCAGCACTAAGCCAGGCCTAAATGCTTATTCCCTTGCCCAAAATCTCCCTAGATTATTTGACTATCTCTGAACCCTCTCCAGCTGCTGAACGCAGGAGCACTTTAGTCTTACCGTGCAAATTACTGAGTCCAGTACCTAGGATCCAAAAACTTGGGTCCTGATCCTGTAGAGTAGGGTCTTTTAAACCAAAGGAGCAATTAGCTAGTGTAAAGGGCAGGTAGCGTGATGTGCAGTGTTAGAGGTGGGTAGCAGTACTTTGCATTGTTTCCATCAGTGAAAGCAGCAAAGTAAGAAAAACCTGACCATACCTGTTCAGAGGGTGTGTGATCCTGTAGCTCTTGGGCACTGCTGAGGCACTGTTGGTTTTATTATTGGCTTGCTAAGGGAAGCCACTTCATCTCTGCATGTCTGCTTTCCTCTCTGTAGGGTTTGCCTGCATTTCCTTCTTACGACTTTAAATGCTTTGGTGCTAAGGCTGGTACAAGTGATGGAGGGCAATATATGTTCCATACGATCTCACAGCAGCTGGTTACCACCGGTCAGCTGGAGAGCTTCCTGGGTGTGACACTGGTTCTCCAGATGTGGTTGTAGAGGGGGGAGCTGGAGTTTATTCAGAACATGTGCCAGCCAGGTCAAGAGCTTGTTGCCCAACTGTACAGATGTCCCCTCTGTATATAGTGCAGTGGATCTTTTGGTCTGTGCAACCATACAAATAATTGTGGTGATCTTGTGGTAGTTAGTACTAAACTTAAACTTCACTCTGCTGTAACAGCAACATTTTAAAGAATAAAATGGCAAGGCGGCAACTAGAGAGGTTTTTCCTTCTTGGATTACAATGCTTACAGACTATTTTTACACCCTGCCTCTCTTACCAGCCAAGGCTGATACGAGTTCTTTATCCCTATTCTTTTCAGTGCTGTCCCTGATTCCAAAGCAGAGCTTAGACTCCGAGATGAATTGCTGTCATATCTGTCAATGTTAAATTTCACTATCTATGGAAGTCTGAGAGTGCTCTCATGGATTATGGCTCTCATCTTTCATTTATCTCTCCTCTGCTCCAGTGGAACAAACTGAAAATAAAACATGTATGTTATTTCACTAGGAAAGAGAAAATAGCCAGAATAATTTTATTTTCCCCTGGGTATTTCCTTTTTGTGAAATGCTGATTATTTTAGCTAAGCAGGATTTGCCACCATCTCCTGATAGATTTTGCTCTTCGAATGTTCTTGAGAAAGTCACTGATTTCTGCAGCAAATAATCTTTAAAAATATTTCTATTTTTTTCATGATCCAGTTTTTGTATTTAGAATTTCAGCTCAAGCGTAGCCTTTGTAAGTCCTTTGCATAAGTGTGTGTGGGTAATAAACAAGAACGCCCATTGCAGCTGACAAAAATACACGGGTGAATTCTTCACAGTTGCTTTTTGACATGGGAATAGT